TAGGAACCCATATACTCCTAACAATTTTACCATTCAAGGTTCGTTGAGGACTTCTATGATTGTAGCTTCTAAAACTTTTCTTAACAAAGTTGGATTTTGAATTCTCATATTTTTCAAAACTTTTTGTTCCAACCTTATTAAAAGATGTTTTAAGATCATTAATCTTCTTTTGATGATCATCATGAACTTTTAAAAGTAAGTTATGCAAATCAATATTTTTCTTTTCAAAATCATTAATTTTGATTTGCAATTCTTTGATCTTACTTTCAAGCTCATTGTTGGTCTTGGATATAAGACTATTTTTCGTTTTTCAATTTTGAAATATCATTTTTGTATTTTGAAAATAAAGTCTTATAATCCAAAGCCAACCCATTATAATCCTCTAATAACTCATCATAAGATAATTCATCCAAATCGAATGAGTTAGAGATTACCTTAGAATCTTCCCCGATAGCCATCAAGCACAAGTTTGCAACTTCTTGTTCCTCTTCATCGGAACCTTCTTCATCGCTCCATGTAGCTACATGAGCCTTGTGTTTCTTTTTGGATTGTCCTTTTTTCTTCAATTGTGGGCAATCATATTTGACATGCCCCGACTTTTTGCATTCATAGCAAATGATCAGGTCTTTCTCCTTCAATTCAGTTTTGAAGCCTTCATTGCGTTTGAATTTTCTTCCTCGGTTGGGCATCATCAACTTTCTGAATCGTTTGGAAAATAATGACATTTCCTCGTCATCATCGTCGTCATTTGAATCACTCTCATCTTTTGTGGATTTGAGAGCAACTTCAATGTTTTTCTTCTTCTCCTTCTCTTTGGTGTTTCGTCAATCTTATCGAGGTCCACTTCATCTTCAAGCATCATTTCATGAGTGAGAAGGGAACCGATTAGCTCTTCAAGAGTTAAGGACGTTAGGTCCTTAGACTCGATGATTGTCGTCTTCTTTGATTGCCACGATTTTGGAAGAAAGTAGACTAACTTCCTCATAAGCTTTTCATTTGAAATGATATCTCCATATTATTTGAGACCATTGGCAATCGTTGAAAATCTATCCGTCATAACTTTGATATCTTCATTTGATTTCATCCTGAAATTTTCATAGCTATGTGTTAGAATGCTAATTTTAGATTTCTTTACCTCATCCATACCTTCATGAGTGACTTAAAGCTTGTCCCATATTTCTTTGGCGGTTGTATAAGATGAAACTCTTCCGTATTCATCTGGTCCAAGAGCACAAAATATGATATGGATGGCTTTGGAGTTGAGCTGGAACATTCTTGTCTCTCCTTCACTCCACAACCTTGGATGAGTGAGAGGCTTGATGTATCATTCTTCTACGGCATTCCATGCTCCCATGTCACTTGCTTGAATGAAGTACATCATCCTATTTTCCCAATAGGCATAGTTAGCTCCATTGAAGAAAGGAGGCTTGTTGACGGGCATCGAATCGAGACAGGAGTCGTAATTTGAAGCGAAGGCCATTGATGACTTGATAATCGATGTAACTCTTCCCGAATCGACTCAAGAGGAGATTAAACCTTCAAATGAGTGAGGCTCTGATACCAATTGTTAAGTTAATCGATCGATGGAATCGGCCAAGAGGGGAGTGAATTGGCAATTAAAATTTTGGTGGAAGCTTTTTCAGAAAATTGAAAGTAATTGCACAGCGATTTACAGTGGTTCGACTTTCTCAACAAAGTCTACGTCCACTACCTTAGCTATCCACACTAAGTATTTTCCAATAAATTCACTAATTTGTTATTTCTTTTGAGGCCAAAGAGATAACCTTACAACTCCCTCAAGAATTATACCCTAATTCTTGAGAACACTCTTTCTCAAAGAGAAGATTACAAATTTCGCAAACTTACAAGAAAAACCTCACAAGGTAAGATATTTGCACAATTCTAGAACAAAGAAAGAACACTCAAGAATAAATATAATTGAGCACAATAAGTGTTCTTGAAAGCAAAATGAATATTGAATGTAAAATAGGCTTGAAATGCTCAAACTTGAAGTTTAATGCTTTCTCTTTGATTCTCTCTTGATTCTAGTTGCTTGATGTTTCTTGTTTTGATCAATGGCTTCTAAGCTTGTTTAAATACACCTTGAATCACTTCTGAATGTTGGGGATGATTAGTGGAGTCAATAGAGCCGTTATTGTGTGAAAATAATTAATAAAACTGGTTGGGAGCGTCGGTGCATCGATGCATGACCATAGTGCATCGGTGCATCAGTGTAAAATTCAAATATTTTGACCGTTGGAACACTTAGTGCATCAGTGCACCAAGTGTGCATCGATGCATAAAATGCATTCGGTGTTTGAAAATAGCCTGAGTGCATCGGTGCATTGCTTGTGCATCGGTGCATGAAATGCATTCGATGTTTTAATAAAACCTAAGTGCATCGATGCATAGAGAGTGCATCGATGCATGAAATGCATTCGATGTTCAATTTATTCAATGGTGCATCGATGCATGGATTGATGCAACGGTGCATGCCTTTGAAAAATTGATTTAAGGCTTGATTTTGGTTCAAAATACTTTGTGAAAATTGTTTTAAAAATAGTTTAAGTACAAATCAGAATTTTACATATTTAGTAAGGATTAAAATTGATCTTAAAAGACTTGGAGTAATAATTTGATATCCGATTAATTAATTCGAATATACCTTAGACAATCATTAGTAAAATCTTAAAATTCATTTAACTTAATTTGTTATATCGAAATATCAAAATGTTTTCAACAGAAATGTTTTGGGAGTCGCCATCAGCCTTTTTGATTAGGTAGGTTGAATACCTAAAAATCATCTTTTAAAAGAGTTTTTAAGAAAACATCAGTTAAAAGATAAAATGGTATGCGTTTAACCAAAAATTTGTTCTTTTTAATAATAAAAAGGGATTTGTGATCGATTATGTTTAGGGAAGGATTAGCACCCCCACAATGTCCAAAATTGGTCCCTGTCGATTATAAATTGTCTCTAATAGTAGAATTTAAGAATTCGAATATGAATTTAATTCATAATCCTGTGATTTCAAATTTATTAGTATAATTCGAAGAAAATATATTAATTTTTATAAATATATATATATATATTTTTATAAGATATTTATTTACTTAGAAATATCATAAAATGACTTCTAGTTGCTTTAAGACATCCCCTTTCTTAATATTAAAAAATAAATAAATATTAATAAAACATTTCTCTAAAAATAATTAAAAAAGGAAAAAATTAAATTAATATATATAATTTATAAAAGTAGGATATTTATTTATTTAAAAATAACAGAAAATGACATCTAGTTATTTTAAGACTGCCCTTTCTTAATATTAAAAAATAAATAAATATTAAAAATATGATTAAAATAATTTATATAAGATTAAAGCAAATATATATTTTTTATAAACATGATATTTATTATTTTTAAAATACCAGAATATGACATCTAATTATATTAAGATTGTCCTTTCTTAATATTTAAAAATAAATAAATATTATTATTTAAACAATATAATATATATATATATATATATATATATATATATATTTATATGACTAATATGAAAATAATAATAAAATAATAATTAAAGTAATAATTTAAACATGTCGAAAGCAAAAAGGTAATAAAAAATAAATTGCAATTACATAGTCAAAGGAATTAAAAGCTATATGATTAAATTGCAAAATATAAAAATTAATAAAAAAATGAAAATTATGAAAATCAGTGGTTAAAATTGTAAAATATCAAAATTAAAGGATCTAATTCGAAATGTCTTAAATCTAAGTGCTAAAGGTGTAATTTGTCCTTAATTAATTAATTAATGATCAAAATAAAAATTATTAAAGCTTAAGGGACTAAATCTGGTATTTTACACTAAATATATATACACATATAAGCAGTGATTAAATTATAATAAAACAAAATTAGAAAACCGAATTAAAAGGCTCGAAAGTTGATTTAAGTGACTAACTTCTAAAGAAACAAATATGTAATGGTTGCGGAAAGGGTTTCCCATATGGGAAATTACACAAGTACCCTTCCCCAAAATGACGTAGTTCGGGGAGGGGTATAAATACCCTAAAACCGACTTCCCCCTAAGCCATCTTCCTCATTTCTCTAGTTTTTACTTCTCTCTCTAACATAGAGAAAATTTCTCTCATTTCTCTATTAAAACCTCCGCCCGGAGGGATATTAGAAACCAGCCGGTAGCCATGCTCTGGCGTCGGTCACCACCGCCGGTCACCGTTAACGGTGGCCGAAAATTTCCAAATTACCCTAGGATATAGATCCCGTGGTTCTAAGGCCGAATCCGTCATCCATTTCCCCTAAAAATCCTCGCAATTTCCTATATCTAAGAAAATACCTTCATTATTTTTGATTCTCCGACGACGTTTCGAAGGCCTCCGACGATAGGGTAAGTTCCTCTCTTCTCTTTTTATTTTTCTTCTGGTTACTGTGTTTGTTGGTTGTGCTTGCTGCTCGTTCCTTGTGGTTCTACCATTGGTCCCTTTTCTTGCTCTTGGTTGCTGTCGTGGTTGTTGTTTCTCGTTCTTGCTCTGTGTCTTCTCTTTGCAGGTGTTGATGGATTTTATAAGCCTCGATGAGGCTCTCTTCGGACCGGGTACAAGGGTCGAGTTCGGTGAGTCACCAAACTATAGTGATGACTTGCCCCATAGCTGCGACGTGGACAGCTTTGTGGTGCTTCTGGAGTCTTCGGCGAGATGGCGGCGTCGTGGAATTATCGGAGTAGAGCACCTGGCAGTGGAGGCATTGGGAGTGAAGAGGCGGCTAGAAGATTTCTTTGGTCCAAGGCGGTGGCGGCGCTGGGTGATGAAATCCTAGTAGAAACCCTGAATAGGTTTAAGGTTTCTACTAGGTCAGCTGTAAATGGGCCTTGGGGTTTGGTTATAACTGGGTCGGGTTATTGGGCTCCGGGATTTGTATTTTTATTTAATAATAATAATAATAGTAATAAAAGTAAAATGGAAAAATTAGTGTCTACACCTAGTTTTTCCACTGTCAAGTTCCTAGCTCTTACTTATCCCAGGTGATTTTTTCCTCTTACTCACATCCTGAAGCATCTCTTGATCTTCGACTATCAGCATAGAAGATGTGGACTGCTTTTGAGTCGACAGTTGATTTGTCTTCTGGTTCGGAGACCTAATTGGAGACTTAACAAGACATCTTATTCCACCATTGCTAGCCCTTACTTGGGTAACAAGATGGTGGAGCCGCACTACCATATAAAGGATACAAGCTTCGGTTTTCTCCTTGTAAGCATGGTGTAGTGTCTCGATTCTCAGCAAGTCAGTCTGGCCAGCAGTTTTACAACTCATCTCAGACCTGAAAATTTTGAAACAAAAGCCGAGTAACAAAAATGCATCAACATTGAGTAAACAAAAAACATCTAAACTCAGAAGTTACCCGATGTTTGCCCATTCTCCGACCCAGCCAAACCCATGATGAGCTCTAGTTGGAACAATTTGGGACAATGAAAACAAGGATGAGTAGTCAGAAATAAACTAGAAAGAACAATATCAACTAGCACGCAATGACAACATAATCCATTGTGGAAGATAGCTATTTACTTGGTTGTATTAGTGGCAATCGGAATAAACCACTGCAATGTTTTCTCCATATCATCTTTGATCTGTGGCACAGTTAGCTACAAGGAAAATTTGAAAACGTATAGGTCCACGCAAATTATAAGTTAATATTTTCAACAATCACAAGGCTAGCAGCATCTTCAAAATCCCAAAACAAAATAGTCTTAATATAAAAGTAAGTGCTCAAATTATACCCTTTTTCCAAGTTAGGTGCCTAAATTATTTTTGGTCCATCCACGTGCCTAACGTTACAAAATGTTATCATATTGTGTGCTCTGGCAGTAGCGGTGTTAAAAAATTCATTAAGTGACACATGTTACGTCATAGTAATTCATTTTTATATTTAAAATAAAAAACTTAAAAGTATAATTTATTTATAATTATCTAGATAAATTTCGTTAGAGGGATGGGTGAGGGGGGATTTTTTTTATAAATATTTTTTAAGACACGTGTTAGTTAACGAAATTTTTTAACAATCGTTACGATTGTTACACCTAAAATGGTAACGTTTGTAATGTTAGACACATGAATTTACGGAAAAATAGTTTATAAATGGTATAATTTGGACACTTATTTTTCAAGTATCGAGATTATCGAACATCACACCTCCTATAATAAATAAACCCTGATACATATTTATAAAAATAACCCTGTACCGTACCATCGTAACCCCTATTGCGAGACTTTCTTTTTAAGGACATGTGATGTTCGCTTCGCTCACTCCACTCCATCCCCTGTCCTTTTTACCGATATATTTATGAGTCATACCTAACAAATCTCCACCTTGGAGAATATCCTGCCCCTTAAGAAACATTCAGTGTGGGTTGGGTTACCTTACTTCTTTAATAACTCGAAACATTCAACAAGTCCAAGCAATGCATGAACTTGTCTGTGGTAACTGGCTTGGTGAACATATCAGCGACATTCTCATCAGTATGTACCTTCTGAAACAAAATCTCTCCAGATGCAACAAACTCTTTGATCTTGTGAAACCTTACATCAATATGCTTAGTTCTAGCATGATATATTTGATTCTTAGCTAAGTGAATAGTAATTTGATTGTCACAAAGCAATTGAACTCCACCTTGCTGAACACCCAAGTCCTTCACTAAACCAGTAAGCCATAAAGCTTCTTTTGCAGCTTCAGTCGCTGCCATGTATTCAACTTAAGTTGTAGATAATGCCACAACATATTGAACAATAGACTTCCAACAAATAGGCCCTCCCACCAAGAGTAAAGACATACCCTGTCGTAGATCTTTTATTATCCAAATCACCCGCATAGTATGAATCCATATATCCTACAACCAAAGGATTATCCCGGTGACTACCAAAACCAATTCCATGTCCCACAGTACCCTTTAAGTACCTAAAGATCCACTTGGTTGCTTCCCAATGTTGCTTACCAAGTTTAGACATGTTCTTACAAACTTGACTAACAGCATGAGCAAAATCAGGATGAGTACATACCATTGCAGACATCAAGAAGCCAACAACATTAGAATACAGAACCTTTTCCATATCTTCATCTTCCTTATCTGTCTTAGGGCACTGTTCTGATGAGAGCTTAAAGTGATTTGCCAATGGAGTACTCACTGGTTTTGCGCTGCTCATTGTAAACCTTTCTAGCATTTTCTTAACATAACCCTGTTGAGATAGCCACAGTTTCCTTGAGTCTCTATCCCTGCAAATTTCCATTCCAAGAATTTTCTTTGCAACACTTAAATCTTTCATATCAAATTCCTGACTCAATAAAGTTTTCAAACCGATAACATCATCCATGTTCTTCGCAGCAATTAACATATCATCAACATACAATAACCAAAAAATAAAAGAACCATCATCATGGCTGTTAACATAGACACAACAATCATACTCACATCGTTTGTAGCCAATCTTGATCATATAGGAGTCAAACCATTTGTACCATTATCTCGGAGACTGTTTCAATCTGTAAAAAGATTTCTTCAATATGCAATCGTTTCCAAGTTGAGTGAAACCTTCAGGCTACTGCATGTAGATTTGCTCCTCTAAATCACCATGCAAAAAAAGTAGTTTTAACATACATCTACTCTAAATGAAAATCCTAACTACCCACCAATGCAAGTACTGCTCGGATTGAAGTGTGTCTGACCACAGGAGAAAAAATTTCATCATAATCAACTCCTTTCTGTTGTGAAAACCCTTTGCTATCAAACGAGCCTTGAACTTCTCCCCCTCCTTTTCTGTTACTGCTGGTTTCTTCTTATACACCCATTTGCAACCAATAGATTTCTTACCCTCAGGAAGGCGAACTAACTCCCATGTACAATTGTGATTCAAAGACTTCATCTCCTCAACCATGGTAGCCATCCACTTATCGTTTCCTGACTAGTAAGAACATCATGAAAAGTAACCGGATCATCACTGCTAACAGTAAGTGCAAAAGAGACCAAGTCTTCAAAACCCAATATGTTCAAAGGCTTTATATTCGTCCGTCTCACCCTGTCTCTGGCGAGACTATAATCTTGCAAATCAACCGTAGCGGAACCACCAGAAGTTGGTTGAGAAGTTTCTGTTTTCTCAACTGGAAACTACTCGAAATCAAGTTTGGATATCTCATCAGTAGGTACATGCACATAAGCAGAACAACAAAAAAATCGTTAGTGATAAAAAGTAACATCATGACCAATCCATACCTCTTCAGCAACTTTCCCAGCCAATGATGCCCTTGGCGATCTATTGATAAGATAACATGCCATGTTAACAGCCTCATCCCAGAATTATTTGGGAAGCCCTACATTCAACCGCAAACATATGGCTCTTTCATTCAATGGCCTATTCATCCGTTCTGCAACACCATTCTGTTGTGGTGTCTTGCGCACTGTAAAATGCCTCTTAATCCCATACTCCTTACAAAAGTTTAGAAACTGTGAATCTGTGTACTACGTACTATTGTCAGACTACAAACACTTTAGTCCTGTTTGGTTTTCTACCTTAGCTTTCCACAGCTTGAACTTCTCAAAAACGTCAGAATTATGTTTCAAAAAATACACCCAAACTTTCCGTGAAAAATCATCAATAAAAGTAACATAATACCTAGATCCACCCAAAGACGATGTTGTGGAAGGCCCCCATACATCAGAATGCACATAATCAAGAATCCCTTCAGTTGTGTGCTTCACAGTTTTGAAATGAACTTTAGTCTGTTTACCAAGAACATAATACTTGCAAAAATTGAGGTTACAACTTTTAACACCATGCAATAGATTTCTTTTATGTAATTCAACCATACCACGTTCACTAAGATGAGCAAGACGCATATGCCACAGTTTGGTAGTATTATCACAGGACTCAACAGAATGAACTCCACCTACAACTGTACTCCCTAACAATATGTAAATATTCCCTGCAGTCATCTTTCCTTTCTTCACAGTCAAAGCTCCTTTAACAATCCGAATGGTTTCCCTATCCTCGTCAACCTTAGGGATAAAACCATTCTTGTGCAAAGTACCCAAAGAAATCAAATTCTTCTTCAAATATGGGATATGCCGAACACCACACAACGTCCGAATAGAACCATCATACATCTTAATTCTGACATCACCAATACCAACAATATTGCAACATCGATAATCACCCAAATAAACAGAACCAGATTTAACCAATATGTATGTCGAAAACCATTCCCTATTTGGCGTGATGTGATAAGAACATCCAGAATCAAGAATCCAGGCATCCGTCAGTTGAGTCATTGAAATAGAGAGCATATCACCCTCACTGCAATCAGAATTGTCATCTTCGATCACATTCACAGACTTGGATGAGTCATCACACTTCCCATCAGTCTGCTTTTCAACTTCAGACAGGCTCACTTCATATGTCCCGCCTCCTTGCACTTGTAGCAGTGAATTGTCTTCTTATCCCCTGATTTGGATTTGAAATTCCGCTTCCCAGACCCTGCCTTCTCTGGCTTCTGTCCACGGTCTCGATTACCCTTGACATATAATCTATCAGCTTGAGACCTTTCCCCTACATTCTGCTTCATCTTGTTGTGAGCCAACAAGGCTGTAGTAATCTCCTCAACTTTGATAGTCTCTTTCCCATATGTAAGAGTAGTAACCATGTGTTCGTAAGAGGGAGGCAACGAACACAACATAATCATCTCTTTGTCTTCATCCTCAATTTTCACATTAAGCCGAGCCAAATCAGAAACGTTTTGATTGAAGACATTCACGTGTTGCGCCAAATCATGATCGTCCTGCATCTTCAGCCCATACAACTGCTACTTTAGATACAATTTAGTCGTTAAATATTTGGACATAAACTCACTTTCCAACTTCTTCCAAATTTCATCTGGAGACGACATATGCATGATGTGATACATGACCTCATCCACCAAACATAATCGTATGGTTCCTGCCGCTCGTTGCTACAATTCTTCCTAATCTTCCTTCTCCATCGACGTCGGCTTTATAGGTCACAAAGCCTTCAGGATCCCTTTTGCCCCAACAGATCCTTCACCCTTGTTTTCCATAATCTAAA